ATAGTTTGTCAACTTTAGTATGAGCATGGCTGCAGACATTTTTTCCTTCTCATTTCTAGTTGACACATAGCACGCAGGGAGGGGGTTGCCAGGTGTTGGGCTAGACAAAACAGACTTTCTCTCTTGGACTTTCTCTCATGGGAACCAAGGTCATTGGCTGCTCCCAAGACTGTGGGCTGGGCATTTCATGAGAAGCTCACCAACAAGCTGTATGGGGAAACGTAGTTGCTTGAATAGCTTTAGCAGTGGGATTTCTTAATTTTGTATTGGGGAATTGTTATGCATCTCTTCAGACATGGTTTCACTTTTGAAGTGCTGATACTTTGTATTAATAAACATGTTCTTTGAGAAATTGCAAGCCTCAGAGTTCTGCTTTATTTGTCTCTGTCTTGACATTAAACCAAGTCTCTAAAAACTTTGTCTCCTGGGGTGCTGGGTCCCGGCCGCCTACCCACTCACTTTTGGGAGAGTGGTAAAGACCTGGTGAAAACTCTAGATGAAGTTGAAACTGTTGCTAGCAGCAACGGGACTCAAGCTATCAGAGCGCAGGCTGGTGCTCCAGCCACCAAGGAGGTGTTACTGGCAGGGGCTCGGCCGAAAACCAGGTTGATCCCACCTGGGAAATTGGTACTGTAGGAAAGAATTACAGCCTTAGTGGACCTCTTCCAAGCCGAAGAGCTCATTTGGATTGCTACACTTATGCCTACCTGGTGAATGCTATGGTGGCAAATTTGGAGGGGGGAGGCTGCTGACTGGGTGACCAACCTCCATGATGAGGGGGCTCCTGAATTGAACATTAATCTATTCATGGAGCAACTGAGGCATCAGTTTGAAGATGAGTCCCAAGTCCTGATGGCCGAGAAAAAAAATCCACCGCCTGAGGCAAAGAGGTCACCCTGCAAAGGAATATGTCCATGAATTCAGGAAAGTTGTTAACTGGTTGGGGCAGTGGCCTGAATGATCACTAGTCAATTACTTCAAACAAGGGCTAGATCACGACTTACTTCAAGCCTGCATCATTGATACTTTGTATCAATAAACATGTTCTTTGAGGACTTGCAAGCCTCAGAGTTCTGCTTTATTTGTCTCTGTCAGAATCTTGATATAGTTTTTTGTTTTAGTTAACATGGATAGAAGATAGTATAAAATCTTTTAGTTAGGTAATAGGTTTACTATTACTATTTACTAAGATTAATTCTTCCAGGAACTGGGTGCTGGTATTGAAATAATATTTAATAACTTTTCTCTAACCAAGGTACCTTCATGCTGTTTGAGAATTTGGGGACTTTGACATGTAAGGCCCCCTGTTTGGAAAGGCTTGATGGAAATTATGTTAGATTTTGATTTATACATCTTGATTTAAAATGATCCATACTTGGTACACTGGATTTCCATCCAATCAGTAGGATGTAAGCACTGTCTAATTTTTTGTGCTTATAATCCAATGGTTATATAAATAAAGTAATAAAGATCATTGAACTAGATTTCTGATGGAAAACTTGGTTTTTCTGAATTAAATTTTTATATAAATATGACTGGTAGAAGGACAATTCACAGAAAAAGGTGCAAGATTTCAAATTGTGTTATTGCAGCTACCATCTTAGCTTTGTTGACAATACACACCCATGGACAACCCAGTTAGTGGCAAATAAAAAAGGAACAAAAAGAGGAATAAAAGTGCCATAGACTTCTATCCCTGAAGTACTTGGAATATAATAGTATATTATATTAATGTAATAAAAGTTGTACAAAAGAAGCTTCAAAAACTTAATATGTCATTTGTTGGAGCTGAAATGAGTGTTTTCCTTGAATATGTTCACATTGAATTTTAAACTCTTAAGTAATAATTGTTCCTTGAAATTATAAAGTATTCCAATGGAAAGATGCATTTACTAATTAATATAGACCAAATATAGTCCAGCTGGTAAAACATAACAGACAAATGGCTTTCCTAGTAAATACTTATTTACTGGCCTTGAAGTACTGTATTTCCTTCATTAGAAATTTGTAAAAGTGAACTGGATGTTCTAGATCAGGGGTAGGCAACCTTGGCTCTTTTATGACTTATGGACTTCAACTCCCAACTCACACACTGGCTCAGGAACTCTGCCTTATTTTTTGTCAGAAATGTAGGTTAAGACCTCACATTTCTGCCCAGGACTAAGGAAATCTGAAACTTGCACGAATAATTGCAGAGAGAAGTGTTTCTCAATCTCAGCAACTTTAATGCATTGATTTAACTCCTAGCATGGCTGGGAAATTCTGGAAGCTGACATCTTAAAGTTGCCAAGGTTCAGAAATGAGAACAATTAACCAGGGGAACAGCTTGTCTCCAGAAGTTGTGGATGCTCCATCATCTGAGGTTTTAAAGAAAAGATTGGACAGCCATTTGTCTGAAATAGTATAGAGTCTCCTGCTTGAGCAGGGGGTTGAATTAGAAAACCGCCAAGGTGCCTTCCAATTCCGCTATTCTGTTAAATACTGGTATAGACAATGCAGAGCTACACAAGCAAGTTCCTTGTATTTGTTTAATAGTAACATTAAATATTGATGAGAGCCAGTTTAATAGTGTAACATTAAATATTGATGAGAGCCAATTTCGTCTAGTTGTTAAACCGCCAGGCTAGAAACCAGGAGACTGTGAGTTCTAATCATACCTTAGCCATGAAAACCAGGTGAGTGCCCTTGGCCCAGGGACTCTCTCTTAGCCCAACTCATATGTTGTTGTGAAGCAAATAGGGAGAGGAAGGTATGTTGCCAATGTTCGCTGCCTTGAGTTATTTGTAAAAATAATAAAGGTGGAATATAAATAAATGATTTTGCCTACTTATTCAATTACATCAAAGTGAACATGTTAAAAATGTTTTGAAGCATTGAGAATATGTGGGAGTTCATTTGCACTCAGCAATGCAATCTCTTGTTGCAAAGAATTCATGAAGTTTTCTAAAATTCAGAAACTACTAAAAAGAAGAAAGGGTAATAGAACTTGCTTTTTTAGTTTGACTACCAATGAACATGCAAACCAAGCTATGACTAGTGGACATACGAAAGCTTCTCAAAAAGAAGCCAGCATGGAACAGGTTCTCTGTAGGAAGTATTCTAATTCAAATTGCTGTTCTCCAGCATGGAACCATTTTTTTTTCTTTGTAACTTAGATCACAAAAATGCCTCACAAGATGAGAAGCCAAAGGCCCAAGAGAGTGAATATTTCATTACACAGATAATTCCCTCAGTATCTCTACTATCTGGATCTCCTGAATAGAAGATAATAAATTGGTTGTATGCATTCAACCATCACATGATAAAAATTCTAGTTCCTATTAAAATTATCATTATATACAATAAGTGCAAATGGATAAATATGATACTGTTAGTCCAACAATTAATAAAAAGTTGACTTACGTAGTTTGCAAAATAATATATGGGGAATCTAGGACTTGCCTGAGCAAACAGAGTTTTAATTTATGCTGCTAGGAATCTTCCATGGTCTTCAAAGGAATTTGGTCTACATAGTGGGTGCCATAATGGGAATGCCCATGAATATTGACAGCTACAGACAGCAAGGCATCCCCTGCAGAATGAAATGACCAGGTGGACCTAAATGGAAACAAATTCTTGAGGGATCTTATTCCTATCCTGTAAACAAGAACAACAGCCTCAAAATGGCTGAGCCAAGAACAATCTAACTAGGATGCTCTGTATCTGCTTCTGGATTATTTTCAAGGGAATCTCTCATAAAAGCAAGTTATAATTGTCCATAGGCAGGCACATCAGGGCTGCATCTGACCCCAAGCTGCTTATCTGCACTTCCAGTGCAAGAATAATTGTATGGTGTATATGGCAATAAAATTGTTTTTCCATGATGATAGTGGTGATGATCCAGTCAAAGTATATTGAAAGAAAACTTCACATTTTTCAATTATTTTAGTAAGATTCCAATATTTAAAATAGAGCAAAGCTAAATGGTATTTTTTTACTTAGAGTGGAACCTGGATTAAAATACTAATTATATTGCAACTAATTATATTAATTATTTACACAATGAATATAAGTACAGGGTAATAAAAAATGATTAGAAACAAATAAGAATATTGAGTTGTAATTAACCAAGAAAGACACATAATCAAGTGAGACGACGATGATGATTGATTATGATGATTTGGACTGTTCAGAATGATATTTATGAAGGTAACATTTCATTTTCAGAGAAAAATTACATAGATTTTAATATAGCTCTTGAGAAAGAAAAGTCTACTACTTAATTTTTAAAAATAGTTATGGGGGAAGAGAATTGTGTTTCATCGCAAGAGAAATGTTGATTATCTAAGAATTTATTCCAAAAAAGTCTTCAAAGTAAAATGGTGCTAAATGGATCAAATCCCCAAAGAAGTACATCGATTCTAATTCACTCTTTGAGCAGCAGAATGGCTTGTCTTCAGAAGTTCTGGAAGACTTTTAAGAAGAGACTGGACAGCCACTTGTCTGAAAGGATGTCCTGCTTGAGCAGGGGTTGGACTAGATGACTTCCAAGGTCTCTTCTTCCAACTCCGTTATTCTGTTTTCTGTTTTTATAGTTATATAATTCTTTCCCACAAAGAATGTAGTTATCATGGAGGGGAGAAGAAATATGGAAGTTTCCAGAGGTAGTCACCAATTCTAGAATTGCTAATACAGAATTGGATTAATCAATTGTTTGATTTAAAAGTCTACAGAAATTGGTCTATTCATTTTTCTCTATTATGATTGGAGTGAAATCATTCAAAAAAGTAGTTGTAATAGCATGTCTTATTACCCCAGACTTACCTCTTTTTTAAAAAATAAAACCTTTATGTTTTTATAATAATCATTATTCAACAACCAAAGTAACTCCTGTCATTTACAAGAACCATGTCATTACTCAATATCTATTGTCTAAAATATTATGTTTAAATGTGTTTACATAGTATAAAACCTGGGTGTTTTTTTCTTGGAATTTAAAAAGAAGCAGACAATCAAGAAAGTTTCTATTATTTGAAAATAAGTCTTTTACTTTGGGACCTTTGACAACAAAAACAAAATTCCAGACAAAAGCATTGGCTTATAAAAATAGATGGGCAGATTCTGTCCACTGCCTTTTGTTCATTTAGATGTATGTAGCCATCTCCATCACAGGTCATCTTCATCTGACAGAGCATCAAGGTAATCTGTATCTACATATAAGAGAAATCCTGAAAACAAACTGTCTGCCCATGTGGGATCAGAAAAGAGACCATTTTGGTCAGTGTAGAAGATTTCAAGCCACACCTCATCCTCAGGTTGAAGGTAAATAACAGTTGACCCAGATGCCACATCGTGGTTTCCTGTGTTAGCATCAAATGTTTTTATCCGGAACTTTCCATTATGAACTAGGCCAATGGCAAGATGTTTATTTGCCAGTGTAATGTCATAGGAGAAATAATAAATCCCTGGGATGGCACAAATGAATTTTCCTGTTGAAGGATTATAATGTCCCCCTTCATTAAAAAGAACTTTGTTAAATATGATTGGCAATCTTTCTTCTGGGTAACTTGTAGTAATACCAACAGAGAAAGCTGATCTCAGTATGATTTGTCCACATTTACAAATTCCCGGTGGACCTGTTTTTCCTCTTTCACCTTTCTCCCCATTTGGTCCTGCTGGACCAAGAGGTCCTATGTCACCTTTATTTCCTACTAATCCTGTAGGCCCTCTTTTGCCAGGCTGCCCTTGGTCTCCTTTGTCTCCAGTTTGTCCTGCAGGACCCATCTTTCCTCTTAAACCTAAGAGAAAGGAAATCATTTTAATCATACCATTATGTTATAAAGTATTATTAAAGACAAGGTACTTCGCAAGAGTGGTTTTTTTAAAGTATCTTATTTGGCGGAAATGGCAAAGATTTCGGCTTTCTTAAAAGAGCAAATGCAAGAGAAATTTTTTGCTGTATGGGAAAAATGGATAAATTTTATACAATTTAAATTGGATATGAAAAAATACCATTTAGTTTTTTTATAACTTGTATAAAAACTCTACTTTTTTTTCTTTGCTTTGCTTTTTTTTAAAAATATTTTTTCTTTTTAAGGTTTATAATTCTTTATTCATATATATTTTGTTCTTAATTATCTTATAATTTTGTTAATTTCTTTTAATTAAGCCTATATTCTGCTCTGGGAAGCTCGGGGGGGAGGGAGGGGGTGATTTGGGAGGGGTTGGGGGAGGGTTGTATTGTTTTATTTTGTTTTTTTTTTGGTCTTATTGTAGTTGTCATTGGTTTTTTTTCTGTTTTTGTAAAAGTTTTTAAAAATTTTTCAAAAAAAAAAAAAAGACAAGGTAATAATTCTCTTTGGCAGGGAATGATGCATTTGGTTCCACTAGGACCAGTGCAACCTAGGTACACCTTCTCTCTCTTACTGAAGGCATTGTGTGGAAGTCTTGACTGATGAAAGCTATAATAGACAGAGGAGGCCAAAACCTATAATACCCATCTTGTGAGGACCCACAGCATATGGAAGATGGTGACTATGAGATAAGTAAAGAGAAAAGAGTATGTACTGATGAAAAGCATTTAAGAAGGAAAAAGAAGTAGCTTGTGTGATTGCAATGGTAGGATGTAATTTGTGGAGTACATGTAGTTCTCATTGAGCTACCACTTATTCAGCAACCATTCAAAGTTATGATGGTGTTAAATGATGGGGAATTAAAATGGATCCTTGTGGTTCAGGGGTGTCAAACTCACCACGTCATGTGTCACAACGTATCACGACTTTTTTCCCCTTTGCCAGAGCTGGGGTGGGCGCGGCTTCCACTTGATGCATCTGGCCTGCAGGCCGGCAGTTTGACACCCTTGTTATAGTTGTCACCATTGCAGAATCCTCACAGGCACTTGATTGCAATTTGGGCACTTGGTGACCTGCTTGCAACTGTAACATTGCAGTATTCCACAGTCACGTGATAATCATTTGCCATCTTTACTGCCAATTTCTGACATGCAAAGTCAATGGGGAGGCCAGCAGAATTTTACAAATTATGGTCTCATGATCATGGAACACTATAATCATGTGAGATTTGCCTAATGATGGCAACTGATTTTTTGCAACTGCCATTGTAATTGGGTGCAGTCACATGACAGTACACTTTATGACAATGGCATTTCTGACACTGATTATCATCAATAAGCAAAGACTACCGGTTTATGATTTCGGCGCTGGTGGATGTGTGGGGTGATCGCTTCCTCCGCTGTCCATTTTTCTCCCACCGGGGGACCCTGAAAAGGGTCGGAAATCGGAAGAGGACTCCCGACCGATCGCAGAAAGGCGGCAGCCCTCTTGTTTAATCCCGGGCAACTCTTTGAACTGACAGGGAAAAGATCGGCCATTAACATGGCCCATCACTAAGCTGCTACCAGCCAAGGCCAAATTACTAACAAGCACTTCGAAAACACCGCGGAGGAATTGGGTGAGATCTTACCTTCTTTGAACCCCAAGTATCTTCCTGTAAAAAAAGCTTCTTAATTGTGAAGATAGAGGAAGGGGAGAAGTAAGTAGGAAGGTTGAGGAGAAGGAGGAGAGGGGGAGAGTGAAGAAGAAGAGGGAAAGAGGGAAGTGAGAGAAGAGGTTAGAGGGTGGATGCGGTTTGGGGGGAAATGGGTGAGCAATACCAAAAGTTATGTGTATAAATTTATTTTACTCTTTATCTGAAGTATTTTTTATGATGTAATGCAAAATTGAAAATAAATTTTTTTTACAAAAAAAGCTTCTTAATTGCTTCCCCCTGTGAGGAGAGAGGGAAGGGAATGTTTTCCTCTCACCCTCTAAAATGGCGGCATTTGTCTACCTCCGGGACATAAAGCCTTGCAAAGAACAACTAAATAATTGGATATGCATCTATTTGATATCCAGGGACCCAAAAAGTTCCTACTTTCACGGGGATTTGCTACTCTATCTACTCGTAAAAAAGATGAAAAAGAACTTAAATTGGACAAAAACCTAGCTTGGGATTTGAAAAAGATTTTAAATGCTATTGAGGACATCTTGTGGCGAAACCTGGTACAGCAAGTGAATATTCTTGACAAAAAGACCTGCTCATAGCCCAGATCTGTCCTTGGTATTATCTAAAAGAGATTAAAAGCTGAGATAATAGCTGGGTGGTGAAATTGCTTTTTAGGACTGTGGAGGTGAATATTCACTGACTCTCGCTTAATAAATAGCCTTCACTAAAAGACCATTTATAACCATATCAGAAATGGAGGAGGACCAGCAACAAATTTCAGCTAATTACAAACTTATACTTGAAAAAATTCTTGAAGCTACTGAGATAATTAAAGCTAGACTTAAAGACAAAGCAAGACCTACAAAGCAAAACCCTGATTGCAACCAAAGAACTTACAATTCAAAATACAATAGAAGCAGAAGAAATTAATACCAATACGGAGGACTTTAAAGAACAACAAGTACAATGTACTGAAAATCTAGACAACCAAACCCTGATTGCAACTAAAGAATCTACAACCCAAAAAACAACAAGCGGAAGAAAGTAATACCAAGATCAAGGGTGCTAAAGATCAACAAGTACAGCCTACTGAAAACCTAGACAATCAAACAACAACCATAAAATCGGATATGACTTTCTACTTACACCAGATGAAACCTGAGGAAGAAGACCAGATGGAATTGAAGACAAATATACTAGAGCAAATATGGGGATCTGGGCCACCAGGACGACAACTTAATGACCATAAATGGGCCAATTCCTCTGGAAAATTGATAACTAGATGGTCTCCTTTGATTCAACTAACATGCACAAGAATGAAGGGAGATCTATCTGATGATCTAAAGGCATTGGTATGGAAGCCTGGTTGGCATAAAAAGAAAGCTAGAGTTAGATTTTAAAAATGGGGTCTTTTGATTTATTAGAGAGGATCCTAAAGTCTCAACTAATGGGCTAAAGGGAGATTTTGAGATGAAGGGAAATATGATTATTAGTTTTACTATTTTTGGAAAATGATAAAAAATAAGGGATTAATTGGCCTAATATTGAGATTTAGATTTGTAAGGGAAATGAAAATTAACTATTAGGAAATAGCTTCGAATTATTGTTTAGCCCAGATAACATAGACAATGGATTTGAGATAATAAAGGATACTCTGTTAGTAAGTGGTGACGTACTAGAATGAGAAATAGAAAATGTCTATGAAATAAAATAAGAATATATTTAAGTAAGTAATAGGTGTATTTTAGATATTATAATTTTTATGTAGTGAAATAAAGGAAATTTGGGTTACCCGAAATCTAAATACTATAGATATTAAAGGTTAAATTGGAATACTGTAATTAAAAATTAGGTAAAATTTAAACACAGGACATAGATATGTATAAGCAAAAATATAATGATAAATGTTTTAACTGAGCTTGTTATAATTACAAATTTACTAGCTTAAATATGATATAGCAAATGTTAAGGGAAATAGAGAAGGAATTTTTTGATGATGTAATCTGAGATATGTACTAAAGATTTTGTCATTGTACTATTGACTACCCAATCACCATGCTGCTTTCTAAATACTTAAATGTAAAACTGGAAAATCAATAAAAACTTGTTATAAAAAAAATAAGCAAGGACTACCTATAGATGAAATAGGGGAGACATGAAAGCAGTATTCCAGTATTTGAGGGGCTGCCATCAAGAAGAGGGGGTCACGTTATTCACCAAAGCACCAGAGGACAGAACAAGAAACAATGGTTGGAAACTGATCAAAGAGAGAAGCAACCTGGAATTAAGGAGAAACTTTCTGACAGTGAGGACAATTGACCAGTGGAACAGCTTGCCTCCAGAAATCGTGGACGCTCCATCACTGGAGATTTTTAAGAAGAGGCTAGACAGTCACTTGTCCGAGATGGCACAGGTTCTCCTGTTTGAGCAGAGGCTGGACTAGAAGGCCTCCAAGATCCCTTCCAGCTTCTATTCTGTTCTGTTCTATTCTATTTTTAGGCACCCCTAACAAATCAATTTAAAAACCATATTTAACCTTATAGTGCTTGCAAACTTTTTATTTCTTTTTTGTTGGCTTTTTTCTTACTCTTTTTCTGGCTTTTTCTGCTTTTAAACATCTGTTATAGATAACAAGAATAAATAAGCACAATTGAGTTTCCTGTTTATGATGAAAAACTGACAATGAAGGATAAAAGAACGATGAAGGACGCTGAATGTGGGACAGACCATTATTTGGTAATGTTAACAGTGGATTGTTGGAAAATAGATATGGAAGGAAAAGATGAGAATGAAAATGAGAATGAACCTGGAGTGCACATGGAATGACAAGTCCTATATGAAAAAGTATTGGAAGTTAGTTTCACTTCTCAATAGAATGAATGACTTGTTAGTGAAGATTAAGAAGACATAGAGGTTGCTTTGAATAGATCAGTGGTTCTCAACCTGTGGGTCAGGACCCCATTTGGGGTCGAACGACCATTTCACGGGGGTTGCCAAACAACGCAGTCTGCCATTTTTTCCCCCTTTTCCTTAGCTGTGCTACTCCCTTTTATTCTATTGGCTTTTGAAAGCCAATAGAATAGACTCTCTTGAATAGAGTCTAATTCTATTGGCTTTCAAAAGCCAATAGGAATTGTCCAGGCTGTCTCTGCCCTGCTGAGCCCGCCAAAAGTCCCATTCTGCAAACGGTGCTGCACCAGTTGAGTAGTCCTCGACTTACGACCGGTTGAGTAGTCCTCGACTTACGACCGGTTGGGGGTCGCGGCATTAAAAAGGTTGAGAACCACTGGAATAGATTGAAAAAAGTTAAATTCCAAAATTGTTTGGTTGGAATAATAATACGAAAGAGACTGTGAATGATAAAAATGCATGTAAGAGAATGATTGCTCCAAAAATTAGAATAAAATAATATTATATAATGTATATATTAAAAAGATACTTGCAAATAATGTTGTCAAAGAGAACAAGAATGGTTAACAACTATTAAGAGAGAAGGATAAAATGCAGAGAGATATTGTTGGAAATGAAATAACATTTTGGAAATGGGTGAAAGGATCTAAAAAGGGACCTTCTATTGGAAGAAATGAATGATAATTATTTGAGTGAAACAAATCAGAGAATGATAGAAGGAGTATTAAAAAGATTTATATGGGAAAGATAATTGTAATTGTAATGCTATAAACATTAGTGCCTAAGTAAACAAAGATAAACAGGATGTAATAAATGTTTATGAAAATGTTGAAAAATGATAAAGCTGCAGGAGGAGATGGTTTAACTGAAGAACTACGAAAATAGCTTTTGGAATGCCTGTGTAATTGTTCTAATATGTTGTGAAGACTGCATCATTATCTAAAGATTGGTAGAAAAATGAATGCAAAAATTAAAAGGACATTTGTTTAATTAAATATTTCTGAAAAAGTTTGTAGCAAAAGTTTGATTTGAGAGGCTACAAAAGATGACAATGAGCAAAATGTAGAAAATGATGATGGACAAAGGATATAAATGTGGAAAGCTGTATTGTACAAATGTTGATTTATAAAAAGTATAAAAGCATATGGTAAAGTAAACAGACTTCCATTATGGAACATTTTGTATGCATATGATATAGTAAGGTTATTGGTAATAGTTGTATATGATGTAAACTTAGCATACCCTGCTTAAACAGGGGGATTAACTAGAAGACCCCCAAGGTCCCTTCCAACTCTGTTATTCTTCTATGAGAAGACTATCTGGAAATCATCAAATGCTTAGCAAATAGTTCAGCATTGAACAAAGTTATGTGATGTTTAGTTGGTTGCTATTATTTATGTAAAATAAATGCTTGCAGAATATTAGAATTGTGAGCTGTTTAGGAATGTCAATGTGCATGTAATTTTGTATGTAGACAAAGTTGTTGACTGAGAATCTGAATCTGAATAATTTTTAGTAACTGCTGGGTGATTTGAGGAGCATGGATATGAAAACTGCTGCATCAAAGGTTATGTTAATTGTTTTTGCCAGAGAAAATGGAATGAATTGTTAAAAATTCTATATAAATGGCAGAAAACAAGACCAAGTGAACTTTGATAGTTACTGAAGAATGGGAAATGGAGACATTTTTAACTGCATAAATTATGCTGGAAAGGTAATAGAGTATGTAGAAAGAAGTGAAAATGGCTATATATCAGAAAAGACAGAAATAATAAATTTAAAGTACAAAAACAATTTGTGATGTGGTAGATGGATATAGTTGAAGGCTGGTTGGCTAGGACATAAATTTTTACTAGCATTAAGTTTTATCAATTGATGAGTCCATTGTTTAAGTATAAATTGAGAGAAATTTGCATCTTCTGTTAATGAAGTTACTATAAATTGGGTAAACTGATGCAAATGCCATAGTTGCACAATGATATACATTAACACAAATTACATAAATATATTATTTATGGATTTATTGCACATTTGGGTTTAATATACATCCCACTCCACTTTTATGGGTTTTGAATCAAGGCTTTCCTGTGTTTCTTTTTCCTTTTCTTAATTCATAATTTATTTGACTTATTGCCTTTTATTTCTTTTTATGCTTTATGCATATGTTTTTAATCATAGCTCAAAGAATAGGGTTCCTTCCTTCCTCTAAATTTCTATGAAGGGGGAAATTCCCCCCATTCACCATCAGCAGTTTTAGATTTGTGTTATTACTACTTAAAGTATGCATTTAATCCTATTAACATTTTGTGTTACCCAAACTTTAATTAAATGAATGCAAACATTAGCATGAAAATTCTTAAAGTGATCGAAATTGAAATCTGGATATATGAGAGTATTTGGATCTGCATGAACTGATTTATTTAATTTCACTGAATGAGAATTATATACTGCTATTAACAAATTACTTGAATTTTCCAGGGTTGCTTGAGTTCTACTGCTTTTGGACCCAAGACTTTACAAAATATTTCAGAATAAGGAGATATTTAAACAGCCAAAATATATTTTTCCTTTGCAGATTCCATCTTTTATTGATTTTGGCACTTCCATTGTCTTTACATCTGATTATGAAGTTAGACCCCCTCCCTTTAAATAAGATAATAATACACTTAAGACTTTCTTCTTGCCATAGAGATGTGTCACTAAAGAATATTGGAATAAGTCCTAATTAGCTGCAGAGGATTCATCAATGATCACATTAAATGATCTCAGGCAGCTTTCAGAGAGTCTCTAAAGAAACCAGATTTCCTTTGTGTCTATGGAAATTCTCAGTCATCCAGATCATAGTTATCCCAAAGATGTTTTTTCATGAGGCAACAGGACTTTCTTGTTTTTCTTTGAAGATGTTTTGCTTCTCATCCAAGAAGCTTCTTCAGCTTCTTCAGAAACTTCTTCAAAGAAAAACAAGGAAGTCCAGTTGCCTCGTGAAAAAGCATCTTTGAGACAGATTTCCTTCGTTTTTCTCCATTTTCTTAAATGGGTTAGGGGGCCAATTCATCAGGATACGGCTTACAATCCTACGTTCTTTAGCCATTCTCTTTAGCTAACACCAAAGTGAGAGAAGATTTCTTTCTTTCTTTCTTTCTTTCTTTCTTTCTTTCTTTCTTTCTTTCTTTCTTTCTTTTCTTTTCTTTTCTTTTCTTTTCCAAACTTCTTTAGTATCTACAAACACTAGATAGCACTTCAAGAATGTCTGCCAGTTGAGCCCTTACCTCGATTGTGAGGCCCTACACTCATGCCTAGTCATCTCTTGGTTGGATTGCTGCAACATGCTCTACATTGGGTACCCTTGAAGACTATTCAGAAGTTACAGCTGGTGCAAAATGCAGTGATGCACACAGTTCTGGAGACCCCTGGGATGGCACTTATAATTGTCCAAACTTCATTGATTACATTTAGCTTCTGGATCCAATTCAAGATGCTGGTTATTACCTTTTAAATCTATATGGTATAGATCCAGGACATCTGAAAAGCTATCTTACCCCAATGGGATTTGCCCACCCCACTCCCACCAGTAGAAGAGGTGTGCTATGGATCCTATCTGCCAAAGAATTCTGGCATGTGGACCAAGGAGAAGAGCCTTTTCTGCTGTAGCCCTGACCCTATGGAACTCTCTACAACTGTAGGTGAGAACTGCCCCACCACCATAATGCCCCCCGCTTCCAGAAGGGCATTAAAACTTGGTTTTGCTGGTTGGTTTGGGGCCCTGGTGGGGACACTTACCACTGTAAGTGGTTGACAAGGTAAGAAGATCTCATCCCTGTACTGTTGGTATTTTGGTTCCTGTTTGTTTGCATAGTTTTAAAAAATTTAAGCCCCACAGCATCATTGAGGAGATGGGCAACATATACTTTTAATAAATAAAAAGAATCCAGTTTCTGGTTGACTGAAATTATAAATAGGAACTTCATTATTAAAAGCATAGAAATCTTCATGTCCACTGCCCTTACCACCACAGTTATTCTATCAAGGTCAATATTATGTCCATATTGTAAAAGTGGAATTTACCTTGAGAACAAGATGTGTCAAGATTTAAAATGAATTTTTAGCACTGATTTGATGGCTTTCAAGTGGGTGGATTACATTTCAACTCTTCTATGGGGATTATGAATAAATCTGAAAGGGGGCATGTCAACTTTAAAACAGGACTGTCCTGATTATTATTTTTTAGCCACTTGGCTACAGTAACTGTAGATAGACTTACTGCTCTTATTTTGTAGCCAATTGGCTGCACTAACTGTAGATAGATTTATTGCTCAGTTCAAAGTTTAGAAAAACTGAAGGCCATAGTTTGAAGACTGTTTTGATAATTTGATATTTTTTTAAAGGTTTGAATATTCAGTACCTGCATTTCCTTTCTCACCCTTTTCTCCCTTCTTGCCTTCTCGGCCATCTCGTCCTGGGATTCCAATCCGGCCATGTGGTCCAGGTGAGCCATGGTTTCCAGGAGGGCCTGGGGGGCCAGGTAACCCAGGTATACTACAAACATATTTTGTGGAGTAGTTTTCTCCTTTAAACTGGCTTTGGAGAGGTTGACCATTGATACAGAAAGCAAAACCTATTATACAGAGCAGCACAAACATCTCTGGCACTGGAAAAAAAGAATGCTGATGTGAGAACAGTAAAACCCATCTTATTTAAATTAAGTGTTAAGATCAATATACAGCATAATATTTCAGAAGCCTCCCACTAGACATGATAAAAAGTTAATATGGAAGCTGTGAGAGTATAATCAAAGCTTCAATTGTTTTATAAGTGTACCATATGTTGCAATGGGCATAAAAAGGGCAGAGCTTAATTAAACATGTCATCTTGTTTTTTTGTTTTTTTACTACTCTGTGGGCACCCATAATCACTTGCCAAAAGCACAGTTTTCCGTTTATATCTTAAATGTTGACATTACAATATCTTCAAGATGTTTCTTTCTGTTTGTAAAAGAAAGTCTGAGTGAATGGAGTAAAATGATCTACAAGTAATTTATTTCTTCTTACTAAATAAGATTTCATTGATACATCTTTCCCACAACTTCTGCATGCGGAAGAAAATAATTCTTAAGCAATATACAGTATGTGTAGGATAATATAACTGAATATAATATTTTTAAAAAACTAATTATATACACTTGTATGAAATTTTCCTAAAATACAATTTTAGTCATCAGCTTGGGCAATATACTGTTTTTGGTAATCTAAAGTTTTTTTAAGTACTTTTCACATAAGAAATTATTTATAAACTTACATTAAATATCCACTCTTGCAAGTACTACTCAAGTCCAGTAATTTGTAGAAAAAAAGTAGTTTATGGCAGTCATTGCTGTTGGTTGTAAAATTCTACATATGGAAATGATATGTAAAGAGCAATATAAAAAGGAATAAATAAATATATTCGGAGCTGTAAATATTCAATACTTCAACAAATGCAACGGATGGCAACTAATCAAGGAGAGAAGCAACCTAAAACAAAGGAGAAACTTCCTGACAGTTAGAACAATTAACCAGTGGAACAACCTGCCTCCAGAAGCGGTAAATGCTTCAACACTGGAAGTTTTTAAGAAGAGACTGGACAGCCATTGTCCAAAATGGTATAGGGTTTCCTGCCTGAGCAGAGGGTTGGACTAGATGACCTCCAAGGTCCCTTCCAACTTTATTATTATTATTATTATTATGGATCATCGCACAGTCAGCCAGATGTTTAGACTGGATTTGGCATTTTGTCTACCTATCGAGTCCTTATCCAGGACCTGGGATAGGCAGATGTGGATGTTTGATGGTATTACAGGTATCGTCGCAGGATGGAAGCAGTTCCTAGTAAGGTCGCCTTTTGCAATTGACTAATAGCGAATTTGTCAATGCCAATGGTGTTCAAGTGGTGCTCCAGTTGTTTTGGGATTGCACCCAAGGAGCCTATTACTATTGGTACTACCCTTGCTTGCTTTTGCCACAGTCTTTCTATTTCTATTTGTAGGTCTTTGTATTTTGTTATCTTCTCCAGTTCTTTCTCGTCTATTCTGCTGTCTCCAGGCACTGCCACGTCCACTATCCAGACTTTTTTGTCTTTCTTATCGACAATTGTTAAGTCTGGGGTGTTATGTTGCAGGTGCTTGTCTGTTTGAATTCTGAAGTCCCAGAGCAGTTTAATTTTATCATTTTCTATGACTTTCTCTATTTTATGATCCCACCAGTTTTTGCTTACAGGCAAATGATATTTTTTGCAGATCTTCCAATGCACCATTGTTGCTACTTTGTCATGCCGCTGCTTGTAATCAGTCTGTGCAATCTTCTTGCAACAGCTTACCAAGTGGTCCACTGTTTCTTCAGCTTCTTTGCATAGGCGGCACTTACTGTCTGTTGCTGTCTTCTCAATTTTGACTTTATATGCATTTGTCCTTAAGGCTTGGTCTTGTGCAGCCAGAATTAGTCCCTCGGTCTCTTTCTTCAATTTTCCTGCTCTTAGCCATTGCCAGGTCTTGTTATTATCTGCTTTCCCAGCTATTTTTTTAATGTATTGGCCATGTAGTGCTTTGTCTTCCCATGCCTCTATTCTGTTCTTCATTTGGTCTTTCTTGTAGGCCAGTTTGGTCTCTCCAGTAGTCAGTAAGCCTTCCTGATATACTAATTTCAGTGCATCTTCATCATTGTTCTTCAGATATTCTTCCAAAGCCATTTTTTCTTCTTCAACCATCTGATGTACTTGTAGCATTCCACGCCCACCTATTTGCCTTGGTAGATAAAGTCTGTCAATGACACTGCGTGGATGAAGGGCATGATTTATTGTCATTATTTTTCTGGTCTTCCTATCCATTGCTTTTAGTTCTGCTTGAGTCCAGTCCACTATTCCAGCTGTGTACCTAATGACTGGAATTGCCCAGGTGTTGATTGCCTTTATGTTATTTCCTCCATTGAGTTTGGACTTTAAGATCTTCTTCACTCTCTTGATGTATTCACCTCTAATCTTTTTCTTGACTTCAGGGTGCTTGATGTTGTCAGCTTGAAGGATACCCAAGTATTTGTAGTAATCTTTATTATTATTATTATTATTATTATTATTATTATTATTATTATCCTCCTGAGCATTTCTCAAAAACATAATTTTGAAAGTAAATCTCACAATGTAATACATTGGTGTAATTTAGAAATGTGAATCCAAAGTTACTAACTCCTACACTGATTTTGGAATCTATTTTTCCCTGTCATACATCTTATATTCAAGATGGACAGTATTTAATATTTATTTGCTATGTATATATAGGCGCGTGGTCTATACATATGTTGTACATAGTATGTTTTAAGTATGTGTTTCACTCTTAGTTTTATTGTACAAGAAGTCCTTATTCAGCAACTAAAACTGGGATTGGCAACCTGGTCATTAATTGTAGTGATTACTAAGTGAAACTACAGTTGTGCTAATGATCTTACTTCAGCTTTCTTTGCTTTATGGACCTGCAAAGGTTATAAATATAAATATAAATATCATAAAGATACTTTTTCATCTCTGTTGTAGCTGTGAACAGTCACTAAACAAGGCAGTTGCTAAATCAGTTGCTGTTCATCTCTTTAAAACTTGAGAGAAATCTTTAAGTTGTGGAGTGGTCCAAGAGAAGAAGAATTTTGTTTCTGGACAAGATGGATCCATTGATTTGCTACTGGAAATGGAGACAAATGTCCCTCTTCCTGGAATATTATCACCTACTCCTAACTTCTACTGTGCTGCCTTGGAACATCATCTCCAACCAACCCTCTAGCTAGCCTCTGCTTGCCTTCTCCAAAGTCTCTTCTGTAGTTATGCAATGTATGCTCAGTTTTACTTGGCCTCAACAGGCAGAACAGTCTGCCAAAGCCTCATTGGCTGTGTGCCTGGTTTTGTGGATGATGCTATGTGGTTGGATTGTTTTTATTTCTTCTCCCAAAGTGCTTTTTCAGGAGGCAATTGGACTTTCTTGTTTTTCTTTGAAGACATTTCACTTCTCATCCAAGAAGCTTCTTCAACTCTGTCTAGATAGTGAGGAATGGTAGGATTTATATTCCTTGTAGACAGCCGGTCATTTGCATTCTTTTAGAGCATGGGTCCCCAACCCCCAGGCCGTCGACCAGTATCAGGCCGCAGCATGCCAGCAACTGGTCTGCACAAACAAGCAAAGCCCAACCCGCGGGATACAGGCAGCACACAAAATCATGCACCCTCTGGTCCGCAGAAAAACCTCTCTCCACAGAACCGGTCCCTGGTGCCCAAAATATTGGGGACCTTTGTTTTAGAGAGTTGTTGAGGCCATTTGGAGGTTTATCTGTGTCCTCAGGATCACCTGAGTAGTGCAAATGTGTGTGGAGCCTTGTTGGTTGCAGGATGATTTCTGTCCTGTGTGCCTTCATTGTTGAAGACAGGTGCAGGCTTTGAGGATGAGTCCATGTTGCCTGCATCTCAAACTGAAGCGCAAATTGTTCCAGTAGTCTGCAATGTTTTCTGGAAATCTATTCATACTCCCTCACCATTCAAACAGTGTCCATTCCAATGTCTTCAAAGAAAAACAAGAAAGTCCAGTTGCCTCCTGAAAAAGCACCTTTGGGACAACCATGACCTGATGACTGAGAATCTCCATAGACATTTATCTATGCACTTTGGGATGGACAACACAGACTCATCCCTAAAGCTTGCACGTCTCTTCAACAGTGATGTTGTCTATCCCACATTTTCTATCTTATCAAAGAGTAGATTGTTGTCTACTTTATCAAAGGTCTTATTGAAGTCCAAGTCCATTTCTCTGATCCACTAATTTTGTCACTTTGTCAAAGAATGCAAATAAAATTTGTCTGGCATGATCTCTTTTGACAAACTCATGTTGGCTTTTGGTTATGATTTTGTTTGCCTGTAAGTGTTTGCAGATTCATTGCTTGGTTAACTTTTCAAGAATCTTCCCAGGGTATGATAGATCTATAGTTTCCTGGATCCATTTTCCCCCTCTTTTTTGAAGATGGGAAGATCAGCCCTTTTCCAGCCATCTGGTAGTTCCTAGCTGCTCCAGGATCTTTGAAAGATATGCTTCACTGGTTCTGAAATCACGTCTGCCAATTTCTTCAGAACTTTGGGGTATAATCCATTTAGTCCTGGTGATTTAAACTCATCTAGAGTGGATATTTTAACAGCAGCGAGTTGGAGATCAAACAAATTCCTAACCAACCTAGCTAACAACTTTCCCATCCATAAGGTAGAGGAGAGAATTAGAAAAAAAATTATACTAGATCTAATTCTTACTAATAGAGAAGTGATAGAGGGAGTTGAAATTGCTGGAACTTTGGATGAGAGTGGCCATATCACATTGGAATTCAATTCAACACAAGCAATAGAACATAAGCCAGTGTCTTAAAATTTAAAAGAGCTGATTTTAATAAACTTAGAGACAGCCTAAGAAAAATTTCATGGATGAAAATCCTAAAGGGGAAAACAATTGAAGAAGTGTGGGAAATTCTGAAAAATATGATGATAAAGGCCCAGTTCAGCACAATACCATTGAAAAAGAAAAAAAACAAGAAGAAATCAGCATGGTTGCCCAAAGATCTCTCTGATAAACTGAAAGAGAAAAAGGACAAGTACAAAAAGAAAGAGGGATACATAATCAAGGCAGAATACCAGCATATAGCCCAAATATGCAAAGATAAAGTTAGGAAAGCTAAGGTTTAGAATGAACAAAGACTTGCAACAAAATTTAAAGATAATAAAAAATAATTCTTTCCACATATAAATAACAGGAAACAGTCAAGGAAACAGTAGGTAAGAGTAAGAGAAGATGGTAAGGAAGTAACAGGCAGCAGGGAGAAAGCAGAGCTGCTTAACTCATTCATTGCATCAGTTTTATCACAACCTACTACTCGATAAGATAGAAAAATGTCACCTTGTTGAATACAATAATATTTATAACTATTAAGGGATTGACTGTAAAACCTGGTCTTTATTGCTAATGAATTGAATATTGGTTATAATATTGAGGTAATTTAATGGTTATATTATTGTTATATGTTATTATATAAATAACCTGGCTCAGCTCTTGACGCTGTGAGGAGACTAGACGCCCTAGTCTACTCCCTGCTGAAACCAAGTAGACTAGGGCCTGGGAGGTGTCGCGCTTCTTTGTGGATTTGTGCCACCTGGCTCAGCCTCTCGGCACTGTGAGGAGAGTGCCCCACTGCCTGCCAAAACCCCTCCCCTGGAGCCCATCAAACCGGATATGTGAAGTAGGCAAAGGCCATTTGCTGGCCACTTCCAGGCAATGATGCATTTCTTCATTCCTCACAAAGGGTGACACCTCTCCAGCATGCATCAGGAGGCGGGGGCAACGTGG